CTATGGGTCCGCGCCGCTGCCCACACAGCCCACGGCAGGGATGCAGGACGCCTACATCCTGTCAGAACCAGGTCCAGATGTTAATATGACTCCGGCTGCGGAGGATGCTCATAGTGACTCGGTAGTGTTGGATCCGGAAGAACAGCCTGAGTTGCTCGACACTAGGGCCGAGGTTTGCATCTTGTCACGGAATCATGGATTCAGCAACGGGGCCATCACGGCAACAATCCGGCTGCTTAGGGATCCAGACTTAGACCCTTCGCAGCTAGAGGGGTGGAACTCACACCGGGACCTGGAGCGGTTCGAGGCTTCATTCGAGGTGGGGGAGGAGAACGAGTGGGTTGTCTCCGAGATCCCGGTTGATCACGAGGTCGAGTTCTTGACGTTTCGGCACCGAAATGTGCTCTCGGTGAGGACCCCTGGTGCACGAATAATTCATGCTGTCCTATGCACGTTGCCCTCGTACCGAGCTTTCTTGCACGCCTTTTTGCGACCTTCCCATAAACTCCACAGGTACTTAAGGCGATGTACACACGTCAGTCCGCGATCCAGGGCTTTCAGACAAAACCTGCCCAGTGGAAGGTGGGCAACGTGCGGCGTTACAGCACGGCAATGAACACTGATTTCATGCTGCAGGCCCAGGTACGTGTCACCCACATCCTGGCATACGTTCGAGATCACCCGTCAGTAGCCCATAGGTGATCTACTAGCCCAAATCCCTCATGCATTGAATGCATGCTCTACAGGAACGCATCAAGGACCGTGGAGAGGCGTTGGGAATAATTCTTTTCAGCGATCAAACCAATCTCTCCAACAATGGCCGACAGACAGCCCACCCCGTGATGATGGCATTCGCAAACACGCCGGAGTGGGCAAGGTGGGCGGAGGGGGGCACGGAGATGATAGGCAATCTGCCTAACATTCCTGGTGACCTGTTCCCCGAACAGAAGTGTGCCGCCTTCCAAGATGCGCTGGACATTGTGGCAAACCCGCTCATGGAGACATCCCAGCTTGACGGGTGAGATGTCGTGTAGCAATGCAACGACTATGTTGTACCCCCCAGCATCCCCAGTGCGGCTCTCATCCTTGCATGCTACTTTTGCGGTTTCCAGGGGGGGGATACAGGTGGTGGATCATGCGGGGGGGGAGCACACGGTCTACCCGGTGCTCTATGCCTATGTGACTGATCACCCGGAGGGGTGCAAGGTTTCTTGCACGATGCAGTGCAAGTCCTTCAGGCCCTGCTCCATCTGCCTTGTGGATCGGGACAACCTGAACAAGGTCCAGCCGGACACTATCAACCGCACGGTGAAGGGACAGAAGCTCATCTACAAGAAGATGCAGCGAGCAGTACGAGCCAAGAAGAAGAAGGAGCTGGCCGCTCTTAAGGCCAAGTGGTCCACGCACCAAGTGCCTGTAGGTCGCCCATGCACTGCGTTTCCTAAGCTGCTGTAAGCTCCGTACCCGCATGCCATAACATTCCTGTCTTTGCATTCATGCCCTTGCATTCCTGCCCTTTGACCGAGTCCCATGCATCCCAACCCTTGCATTTCTGTGTAAGCAATCTTGTCTTTGCATTCCTGCATTTGCATTTGTATCTTTGCCTTCCTGTCTTTGCCTTCCTGCCTTTGCATTCCTGCCTTTGCATTCCTGTCTTTGCCTTCCTGCATTTGCATTCCTGCCTTTGCATTCCTGTCTTTGCATTCCCGCCTTTGCATTCATGCCCCTGCATTCCTGTATTTGCATTCCTGTCGTTGCATTCATGCCCATGCATTCCTGCCTTTGCATTCATATCGTGTCTGCTGTGCAGTGTGTGCTTTGGAAGTGGGAGTTCTCAACCACTTCGTGGGGCAACATCTACCTTGCTCTTCCGCCAGACATCATGCACATGATTGAACAGGGCTTCTGGCTCCATGCGATGCGGTGCTTGGCTGCCAAGCTGACGAGGAAGGAGCGGAAGATCTTGCTTGAGTACGTAGTGCCCGGTTGCTCTCTCTTGCCCCAAACACGCTTGGCCATGGAGGCTCTCTTCCACCCAGACCACTCATCCATGCCCACCCGCTTTCTCACACTCATGGCAGGCGTTTCAACGCTCTGAAGGCTGTGACGCCGTCATTCCTGCTCAGGCTCCCAGGGGCGTGGATGTACTTCACTACGACGGCGGGTTTCGCAGCATCAGAGCACCGTGCTATGATGCAGGTGCTCCCGCTGATTCTGTATCTTCCGGGCCGCGACGACATCTACAAGGCGGTCCTGGCGATAACGAGTTGGTACAAGCAGTTCATACGTGCGGAGTACCACACCGACTCCAGCCTCAAGAAGATGGACGAGTCCGCCACAGAGTGAGTCGGCTCACGCACTGGGACATTTGGTTCCACTGTATATCGTCCCCACCCCGTGCACTAGTCATCTGATCCTTCCCTATTACAATGGTCCCCTGCTTTTACATCCCCTGGTCCCTCCTTCCATCCCCCGCTCCATCCTTCCATCCCCTGGTCCCTCCTTCCATCCACCGCTCCCTCCTTCCATCCCCTGGTCATTTATTCAGGCGGGGTCTGCCCATCCCGTTCTGCTCCCTTCCTACTCTTCTACTCTGCCCATCCCGTTCTGCTCCCTTCCTACTCTTCTACTCTGCCCATCCCGTTCTGCTCCCTCCTTAATCTCGTGGTCCTTCATTCAGGTGGGATCTGCCTTCTCCGTTCTGCTCCATTCCTTCACCCCCATGGTCCCCCCTGAAACCCTTTCTCTACTCCTAATTCCCTTGGTACATTGCCCATCCCCCCAGACCCGCCGTCCACCACAGGTAACGTATGTAACCAGGGTCTGCCCTACTCGTTCCGGTCCCTCCCTTACATCCTCTGGTCCCGTCGTTCCCCCACTGTTCCTTCTTTCGAATAAGGTATACCCTTAACACTCTAATCCCTACCTTCGCTCCCTTGATCCCTCTATCCTCCCCTGGTCTACAGGTCAATAAGGGTCTGTTCATCCGGTGCGTCCGTTCACTCCCTAATTCCCTACTTCCTCCCTGGTCTTCCACACAACCAGGGTCTGCCCTTCCCGTGCTAGCTCACCATATAACATCCCCTGGTTGGACGGCCAGCCAGGATGATTCCCTCATGAAATTCACTTCAACCCTGGGTGGGAATTTCTCCACTACCTCGTCTCTACCTCTGTCCAGAACCTGGTTCCCTTCCCCCACCCTAAACCCTTTAGAGTTTCTCTTCCTCGCACCCCGTGTCAGTCACCTCTTTTGAAGCGTTTGTGCAACCTTTTCCCCTCTGCACGTCTCACACTATCCATCCGTGCACGCTCCCTAGTAGGATGGTGGCTTTACTAGAGGTGGCATTTGACAACCAGAAGTCGAAGTGGCACATCGTGAAGATACATGGCGTCAGCCACGTCACCTCCTCTATCACGGCACGCGGCGTCCCCCAGGAGTACTCATCGAACTGCTACGAGCACGGACACAAAACAACAGTGAAGAGGCCATCTCGCGGGTCAAACTGGAAGAATGTGGGGGAGCGCATCGTCAAGAAGCACATCCAACACGCTGTGGTGCGTCAGCTAACCCGCGAGGTCGGGGGCGACGCGTCGTACGAGACGGCCATGAAGCAGGTATGGAGCGGTTTGATGGGTGGCCAAAGGGGTGGAGGGATTCGAACTCCATGCGTTTCCAGGTACCCTAGCTGCCCTATTCCCATATTTCTCCAAGTGTATAGACGGACCTACCCCTTAGCCAACCCCGTAACAACCTCGTGCCTAACACGCCACTGCCGCTTCCATCCTCCAAATGCCATACACGGCACAGGCATCCCTGAGGAACCAGCGTGTCCTCACCAAGACCCACAAGAAGATGGAAGCGGGGGACACACGGGATCCTGTCTTCCGCAATTACATGAGGACCGCGGGGGTGCTGGCGATGCACGAACTGGAGGAGCGCCTTCGCCTCGCCAAGATTAAGACGCGGACAATCTTTGTACGTTAACTAGACCCTGAGGCATGGGTTTGGGGATTGGGATGGAACGTGAGGGCGGGGCAGGGAGTGGCAGGGTGACTGGGCACCTTATGGCAGGGAGGAGATGGCCGTGAGTGGGAGGGAGTGGTATGGCTTGGAAGGTCAAGGGACGGAATGGACAGTGATGGGAGGGAATGTATGGGCATGGCATGGAATGGGAGGGTATGGACAGGGACGGGAGGGAATGGATTGGGAAGGCATGGAATGGGAGGGTATGGACAGCGATGGGAGGGAATGGATGGGGATGGCATGGAATGGGAGGGTATGAACAGCGATGGGAGGGAATGGACGGGGATCGCATGGCCTGGGAGGGTATCCCAGGGATGGGAGGGAATGGATGGGGATGGCATGGAATGGGAGACTGCATTGACTACTTGGCTACCTCAGCTCTTAGGGTCCCATTTAATAAATGGGCATGGCATGGAATGGGAGGGTATGGACAGAGATGGGAGGGAATGGGAGGCCATGGACGGGGATGGGAGGAAATAGGAGGGAATGCACGGGGATGGGGGGGAATTGGAGGGAACGGGGTAGGAAGGAATCACTGAGAATGGGAGTGGGAGTGGGAGGGAAAGGGCCGCGAACAGCAAGCTCTCGCAGGATTTGGAGAGAGAGTCAGGGAATAGCAAGGAATGAGTCAAGTGGGACGGGGAGGGGGCCTTGGGAGCGGTACCAGTGGGATTGGTGGGGTTTGGCCAGTGAATGGCATGGAATGGCAGCAATTTGGTGGGACCGGGCTCTCTTTTTTCCACACCCTAAACCCTACCGTGGCCCCTCTGTCCACGTCTCCCCTCTATCCCCTCCTGAGCTCAATCCGTCTAATCATACAATATGACTATCATGTGCCATGGTACCATGCCTCCTTGCCAAGCGCTGCCCTCCCATCTACGATAATTCAAGGCACACTCGTGCCCCCTCTCTACACCCACCCGCCTTCCCTGAACTCCCCCCATTGCCCCCTACCCTAAACCCAGGTCCACACAGCCATGGCCATCCCCCCCCATGACAGCATGGAGTGGACCTCAAAGGGCCAGTTCGTGAAGGCGAGCCCTCACGAGCGCCTCTTCTCTGACGTCTCGATCAGGCCTGGCGGCGGCGTGGGGGAGCCGTGGTATGGTCGTGTCCTGGTGCTTTTCCATTACCAGGATGGGGAGGTGGAGAAGCGCGGGGCGTTCATCCAGTACTACACCGAGGCGCAGAAGCCTTGCCCCATCACCAGGTGCAAGCGCCTGACGCCAACCTTGGGCATCGACAACTATGCCGTTGTGGACGTGGACAGCATCCTGAGCCTTGCACATGTGGTTCCGTGCTGCACGGACCCGAAGTACCGGCTCGTTAACCGGTTTCTTTTCTGAACCACCGGTTGCGCTCTTATTTATGCATGACTTTGTTTAAATTGACCTTGTCTTAGAGGTTGACAATTGAGTGACTCGTACTGAGCATGATACTTTTAGTTTGCAGCGACAACCATTCACAGTGCTCGCAGCAGGTGATGACCCCACTAATAATATAGCAACAAACCCTATCATTTTTATTTCCCACACATGATATATTCCATACATAAACAATTACGTTCGAACATAACAAAAAAAACACAGGAGTGTACTACGATTGGACAGACGCTTATCGCTTTGAAATCATAGGGTTTAGAAATCGTAGCTTTTGCAAAACATACATTTTACATTTACACCCTGCCAAATGCTACGCGAACGTTCTGCGAATGGTATTTGAATGTTCTGCAGATAGTCGGCATCCTCGCTCCACCTCGAATGGTTTTTAGATTGCCACTTTTTTGCGATGAGTGAGTAGGGCGTGAGTGGCAAAGTGGTTGGGTTTTCTAGTTGGGATGGGGTTGTGTGCGGTTCTTGGGGGTTTGATATTTTGACCCCCAGAGTCAATTGGTTGGAACTCCAACCAATGTGGTGCTGTGCGGTTGGCTGGATTCAGGTTGGGTTGCAAAATCGCTGGGGGAAATTCGATTGGTTTGAATTCCAACCAATTTCCCCCAATTCAACCGCTCTGAATGCATCTGGATCTACGAAATCCAACCCCTGCCACTCTACAATGCTCTACGTGACCTAGCAGCTCACGTAACCCAAGAAAAATCTCTACCAGCACGACCAATGTCGCGCTGGTTCCGTCGGGTAGACACGCTACCCGATTTCGGGTCGGGTACCCGTTACCTGACGTGTCGGGTAACGTTTCGGGTAACGGGTATCGAACCCGCCCGGGTAACCCGGACCCGACCCGCCGGGTAATTTTCAGGATTCCCGATACCCGACCCGCCCTAAAAGCGGATCCGGGTACTGGGTACCTGACCCGTGCGGGTAGTATGCTCAAGCCTACAGTACGCCAGGTCGGCGTCGGCAAACAGCTCGACGAGCGCCTGCCGCAATCGCTGCCAGTGCTGCCACGCGCCCAGTACACAGTGGCCCAGCAGCACTTGCAAAAACGCTTGTGCTCCAAGAACATACCCTGCATGAGGCCTGGAGTTCTCGCCCCAGTGCCCTCCTCCTCGACCTCCTCCAGCTCCTCCTCCTCCTCCTCCTCCTCCACCCCTCTAGCGCGCTTGCTTCACGCCCCACCAGCCCCTGCAGTTCCCCCTCCGCGTCCACGACCCCTAGCACGCAGCGGAACCACCCCCCTCGCCCCCGACCCCTACCTCCCGTCCCCTCCCCGCTCACTGCTTCACCACGCCCGCCACTCTCTTCAGACCCACCCCGCGCTCTTCCCCGCCTCTTGCCGCGATCGCCTCTCTGGCTACCCCTATCTCCACCGCCCAAGCCCCCACCAGCGCCCGTCTTCAAGGCGTCTCCCCACTCAGCACCCCAACCACACCCGGCTGCCCTCTGCCCTCCCACTCTGCTGCGCCTGCTGGTGCGTCTGCCGCCTCTCCCTCAACGCCCGCCCCTCTCCCACGCCCCCCCCCTAAACCCTTCCCCCTCTTCTTCCCCCTCCCCATCTTTCCCTCACGCCCTCCATCATCCCTTGACTCATCATCCTCTAGCTCCTCATCCGGGACATATTCCGTGTCCTCGCCACGCCTTCCGCCCTTCGCCCCCGCGGTGGGTTTCGGGATCCGGTTCCTCTCCTACCCCTTGTCGTCCATACTGAACTCCCGGTGCCACACGCCTTCCCACTCGTTGCCGGCGGCGTTGATGGAGCCAAGGGCAAAGCTCTGAGGCGCACCGGGGACAGGCACAAGAGCCAGGGACATCCCGGGCAGCGCCGCACTTTCGGCGCCCGTATGCAGCGACCCGGCTCCCGTGCTGTGTCTCGCTGGTCCGCCTTCTCCCCCCTCGGTCCGCCCTCTGCCGCTGTTGCAGAAACCGCCGTCCATGTCGCCTCCTCAACCCTCAACCCTAATCGGCCCAATGTCCACTCGCGCGCTAAACGACAAGGTAAGAGGTGTGGATGGCTGCACTACGAAATGCAGCCGCGGATTTTCTGCGTTTGCTGTGTGGGGTGGTGCCCATCTCAAAAACGAAACTATGTCATGGGTTAACCGCTGCAAATCTCGATCCTTAGCCTTTGGTAGTGTGCGTTAGGTACCAGAGGGCAAGATCGAACTATTATGGACCCACCCTACTTGCGAAAGACTAAAACGTTCGCTCCCTTACTGTCCTTCGCGTGAAATTTCAAACAGTAGCGAAATGCGGTCTGTTCCACCCTGAAAACGAAATTCCTTCCCTCAGTTTCTTTAGTTTCTGCCGAAAGAAGAGACGGACCAGCTTAAACTATTAAACTAACCATTAGGAAACCCTGTTTGCTAGACAGGAAGGAGCCATAGACTAGGTCGAAACTGTACGATGTACTTTCTGGTTGTAATTTCGACCTTATGGTCGAAATTTCGCGATCTCCGCGGCTGGTCGCACAAATCGCGTTGGGTCAAGGCGTGACCCGACATAGGGTCGGGTCGGGTCAACCCGACATGTCGGGTTGAACCCGAACCCGGGCATGTCGGGTTCGGGTTGATTCGACACGTCGGGAAAAAATCAAACCCGACGGGTCGGGTTCTTCCTACGGGAACCTGAACCCGTCCCGTCAAAAAGTCGGGTTCGGGTCGGGTTACCCGACCCGACCCGACCCGTTGCTCAAGCCTACATGTGATGGTGAGAGGAAGGAAGTACAGCCTAGGTGCATATATGCCAGGGTTTTCAAGGGCTTACTAAAATGAATGGAAGGAAATAGATGGTGGAGAAAAAGGCGGGCAGATTGTCTTCAGTGGTACGCCCAGAGAAATGGCCAAATTTAACGGCAAGTATACAGCACAACACATGGTGTATGCTGCTTTGTAGCAGGCGCCCAACAATAGATACCTACAATAGTCATAAAAAATTCCATCACAAGATAAGCACTTTTTAATGCATCTCTAAACAACTAATCCAGTGAACCACCTTTTCATTATGATGGCTCTTTGCTACGTATATCCCTCCAATCCCTCTAGCTGAAAGAGGGAGAGCACAATCCACATGTTGGAGATAGGCTGCAATGTTGCACATTTGTGTGTTAGTCATTTGTTTGTTTAGGGTCAAGAATGTTTGTTAGGTTGGGTGTAGCTTTTTTTTATCTCCAACCTATCCCAACCCAATCCATCCCAAATCCCCACGATTTGGGAGGATTCCCTTAGGATTCCCTCCGATTCCCCTTATCCCTTCCAACCCTCTCCTATGGTTAGTACTTAAGCTTGTATGCCCTCTCATTTTAATCAATCAAAGTCCTGTTTCTTACATGGTATCAGAGCTCGTTTTCGCCAAAGCGGCTCTTGATCCTCTCGCTCCGTTGGAGCTAAGCATTTGCGTCTTACGACGCAAAGCTTTTCTAGTCGCCTCAACTCAGCTCGGCGCTTCTCTTCGGGTTGACGCCCGTCGCCCCGCATCTGCGCGGCTCTTCTCTTCGGGCTGATGCCCGTCGCCCCGCATCTACACGGCTCTTCTCTTCGGGCTGTCGCCCGTTGCCCCGCATCTACGTGGCGCTTCTCTTCGGGCTGATGCCTGTTGCCGCGCATCTGCGCAGCGCTTCTCCTCGGGCAGACGCGCGTCGCCCCGCATCTACGCGGCGCTTCTCCTCGGGCTGACGGCCGTTGCCCCGCATCTCCGCGGCGCTTCTTCTCGGGCTGACGCCCGTCGCCCCGCATCTTCGCGGCGCTTCTTCTCGGGCTGACGCCCGTCGCCCCGCATCTGCGCGGCTCGTCTCTTCGGGCCGCCGCCTGTCGCCCTGCATCCGCACAGCACCTTACGTCGGGCTACCGCCCGTCGCCCCGCATCTGCTCATCGCACCTGTCTCAGGCCGTCGCCCGTCGTCCTGCATCTGCGCGTCGAAGTTGAACGGGCTGCCGCCCGTCGCCCTTGCAACGGCAGGAGGTCTCAGCGGCGTAGCAGAAGAGGAGCAGCAGCGGGTGCAGCGGCGTAGCAGTACAGAAGCAGCATTTTTTATCACTATTTCGTGATTTTCCGGACGGCTCGTTTCCTATTGAGATCCGACAAATCGACACTGCGAGCATTGAAAATCCGCTTCCGAAGTTCCTATCGGCGGCTTCAGAGCTGCGCTCCGCGCACGAGAAAGGGGCCCTTTACACCATGGCCTTCCCCTCCGCATCCCTTGGTACCCCAATCACTCCGTTGCGCCTTGACCCCAACGGCACAAGCCCAATTTCAAGGAATGGAGCTACTGCATCGACAAGCACCTTCTGAGCCGCAAGGTCGAAGGCATTTGTCTTGAGCATGTCCTGCTCAACCGCGGCAAAGGGAAGATGCCCACTCCAACCAAAGAACTCCAGGCGAATGCCACTGAAGAAGAATCCAAGGCGCACGAAGATCTGACAACCAAGTACGAGGAAACTTACAGTGTGTGGGAGCAGGCCGACGCTGCTATCATTGGCATGTTCGTCAGCACCACTCCTTCTGAGCTAGTTAAAACGTATCATAACTACCCGTCCGCCCATGCCATCTGGGAGTACCTCAACGACCGCTTCCTCAACAAAACTGCTGTGGGGGTGGCAATCCTCATTCCTCGCATGTTTCAAGTGCGCTTGGAGGAATGCCCTGGCATGGCAGGCTATGTGGCGGAGATTCTGGGTATTCACCAGGAGCTGAAGCAGCTTGGCATTGTTTTCCCAGAACAAGCCCCTGCCGCAACTCTCCTCGTTGGGTTGACTCCGTCCTATAATGTCACCCGCTCCATGCTCCTCCACCTCCCGCCGGAAGAGCTCACCTTCGCTAAAGTCTCCTCTGCGCTTCTTTCTGCTGAGAAAGACAACACCGCCTAGGCTCGAGCAAATGCACTTCGCGCTCCAAGCTCCTCCCCAACTGCGCGTCCCAATGCGCCTCCAGCCCGTATCCGCTACCCGCCTTGCCCCTACGTCATTAAAATGGGCCCTCGCGCAGGGCAGGTCTGCGGTGGCACCAACCATCCACTGGCCACGTGCTTCAAAAAGAAAGACGACGAGTGGTTTGCGAAGAATGGCGTCAACTCCAAGCCACCCAATTGGCTCTGCGTACGCCAGGCCAACCAGCTTGAAGTTCAGACTAGTCAAGATGCAACTGTTGACAACTCTAGTCGTGACGTTCGTCTCAACCTGTTGTTCCCAGGCGTTGCCATGATCAATGAAACCACTTCGCAGTACTCGGCGCTTGAACGCTCCTCGACACTCGAATTCGTCCTTGATAGCGGAGCAACCCACACCGTCCTCAAGGACAAAGAGTCATTCAAACCATACCAAGCACCCATCCCTTTACTTGGTGCCGACTCGAGATTCACCACCCTCGCCCATGGCCCATCCACACTT